GTAGCAGGTGGCTTGATGGTGGCCTAGTTGCCAACCCATTCACAGCATGGTTCTTCCTTTGTCTGCTTCTTTAGAGTACACCAGAAAGGACACAAGTATTGTTCCCCAAATGTTGTTTACATGAATGACTAACTTTTACAAAGCCTGAGCCCCAAAGCTTTAATCCCCCAGTAGGAGGGGTTGCCAGAGCAACAACTTAGTCTGCACAGAGGGCTGCTGTGGGTCTGGGGGCTGGGTGGTGTCTGGCAGGTGCTGACCGAGGGACCCTGGGCTGACAGCTTCGTCTCCCTGTGCTACCAGAGGCCGTTCTGACCGCCAGCCACTTCTATGCTGGCTTCACCTTTACTTCCCGCCTGCATTAGAAAGTTGAGCTGGTTTATGCCCACCTGCACAGTGAGGTCAGAAAGGGGTCCTCTTCCCTGCTCTGCTCACCTAGGTAGGCAATGAAACATTCTGGGGGCATTTGGAGGTTTAGGGATGGGGCAGGCATCCTCCCATGAAAGAGATGCCAGGGGCGGGTGGAGAAATCAGGGCAAAGAGGGCAGTGGGACTAGTGCCCTGGGTGTGAAGGCAAAGGGTCACTCAGGGTTGACAGGAAAGAGGGATCAAAGCTCAGGGGCTTTCCAGTGGGCGGTCCTCAGGCAGTGCCTGTGTTCCAGATCACAGAGGAACTTCGTCCATGACAGCGGACTGCAGACAGGTTGGGGAAAGCCCTGCTTGAGGCTTGGCTTAAGGTGAGGAGGGAGCCCCGTGTCAGGGTGGGCACTGCTGCCCCTGGACACTTCAGGGTCGAGACTCTGCTCCAACTTGCTCACCAACGCCGTGTGGGCTCCCTCTTCAGAAGAGGCCGTGTCCAGGGGCGTGTCCCCCGAGGAACACTCGCAGGGGCCATGCCCAGAGCTCCTTCTTACTCTGCCCTGTGGGCAGTATGGTGGTTGCTTTGAGATCCTGCCTGGTTAGGTGACCAACATGGTATATCCTGACTGATCCTTGGCTGAACTTGAAGTTGAAGAGAAGGATTTGTGTTCACTGGGCTGCATGTGGTTCTTTCAGGGGAGAAAGGCCAAAGGCCCTGTGCTCATCAACTCTCAAATCCTCTGGGAGACATCTCCCGGGACTCACTGAAGGAATACCTGGAATTTGCCAGCAGGTAGGAGTTCACTCTTTGAGACGAGATGAATTCATGGATAAGAAGTCAGAACCAGAAATAACTTACCCTAAATATTCCTACTGCCTACTGTACTCTGCAAAGTGATATACAACCAACTGAAATTGCAACACAGGAAGGTGTACCCACACCTCACTGCTTCGCCCAAGCTTTGCTGCCCCTTCCTTCCTAGACTCATCCCTGTGCGGACACCAACATAACGATCACCGTACAGCCAAATCCCTATTCAGCATCCCTACTGAGATGGGTTTATCTTTGTATTTGATACCCAATAATAAATTCCATATTCTTTTAAATTCCAGGCTGGTTTATTTCTTTCTCACTCTTCGTGATCACCTTTGGGAAGTATTAACATTTTTTGTCCTTTTTGATCGTCAATTCTAAGGCAGGTGACATAGGAAGAATACTGTCTGGAGCAGGCAAGACAGGAGGGAATAGAACAATCCCTGAGTGATGGACACAGTCTAGGCCTGGATGCAGGGTCCCGTGGGATTCTGACCTTCCACACGGTGGGCCAAACGGCAGAGTAGTGGGATAATCCCACATGTTCCTGCTTCCAAATACATGCTCCTTCCCGTCTCGCCTTTTCAAAAAGCTTTAAAAATGAACCCAGTGCCCAGCCTGGGGTCTTCATTTTTACCTCTAGTGTTTTCAGTTGTACTCACATTAGTGTCTCTGTCAAGCCCTTAGTTTCAGCCAGGCCCCGATGCTGTGAAATGGGCAGAGCAGCGACGACCATCATTTCATAGGCGATGAGAGAGATTCCGGCACTGACTGATGCTGTTGGTCAGTCGCTGGGGCCTCGGACCATCCTCTCTCTTTAGGGTCTGGGTTGGGTGGTTATTGTCCTCAATGACAGTCTTTTTTTTTTTTTTCTTTCAACAAAAGTATAACAAGTCCTGATTTTTCAAGGTTTTTTACTCTACGCGTTTCTTTAGAAATTGACTATGGCTTAATAAAAACAGAAAGGAATTCATTGGATGAACGACTTCATGGGCTCAGAAGACAAGGTAAAGGTGGAAACCAGAGATGCTCTTGGAATCTTTGAATATTGGTTATTAGGGCTATAAACATTTAAAATTGTTATCCTGATGAATTGATCACTTTATTATGAAATGTCTTTAATTTTTGGTAATTCTTTTTATTTTGTCTTTTTTTTCCTAAGATTTTATTTTATTTTTAGAGAGAGGAAAAGGGAGGAAGAAAGAGAGGGAGAGAAACATCAATGTATACTTGCCTCTTGTGTGCCCCCTGCTGGGGACCTGGCCTGCAACCCAGGCATGTGTCCTGACTGGGAATCGAACTGGTGACCATGTGGTTCGCAAGCCGGTGCTCAATCCACTTGAGCCACACCAGCCCGGGCCCATGTCTTTTTCATTTTTTCCCTTGATTTGTACACTGGAATGCATGAAATGTGCCATCTTAACCATTTTCAGTGCGCAGTTCAGGGGTATTAAATACATGCACATCACCACCATCCATCCCCATGATTCTTTCCATCTTGTAACCCTGAACGTCTATCCCTACGAAGTAACTCCCCATCACCCTCTTCCTTCAGCCGCTGGCAACTGCCATGCTGCCTGGCCTCTACGGTTGTGACCACTCTGGACACCTCATGTAGAATCAGTGTTTGTCTTTGTTTTTGATGGGCTTATCTCACTCAGCGCAGTGTCCTCAGAGTTCACCCATGTTGTAGCATGTCAGAACGTCCTCCCTCTTTATGGCTGAACAACATTATGTTGTACATGTATACAACATTTTGCTTGTCCGCTCCTGTGGTGAAGGACACTTGGAGTTGCTTCCACATTTTAACTGTTGAGTAACGCCGCTGTGAACGTGGTGTGCGAATGTCCCTGAGACCCTGCCTTCAGTTATTTCGGGAATACACCCGGAAGTAAGGTGGCTGGGTAATGCGGCAATTCTGTTTTTAAATTTCTGGAGGAACCTCCACACCGTTTTCCACGGCGGCCGCACTGTCGGCATTCCCACCAGCAGTGCACTTGGGTTCCAACTTCTCTACATTCTTGCCAACACTTGTTTTCTGGGCTTCTTTTTGCAATAGTAGCTATCTTCTCATGGTTTTTGTTTGTGTAAAATATTTTTCTCCAACTTCACTTTTAACCATTTGGCCTTTTTTTAACACGTCCCCTACAAACACCATATACTTGCACCTTGGTGTCTGATGCAGTCCGATCTCTCACTGGTCCCGAGTCATCCTATTTAATGTATTATTAACGTGGTTGCATTTGAGGCAACTATCCTTTCCAATTGTGTCATGTGCTCTTGACTCATTTTTCCCTTCCTGCTTGCTTTCTTTCAGATGGAGCACTATTTAGTACTCATTTTATTGCTTTTTTTGGGCTTTTTAGCTATACCTTTTGATTTTTTTAAAAAAATCAGTTTGTTCTCTCTCCTTCTCTGTGTGTATATAATTTCTAATGCCCTCAGTGAGAAGTCCACAGTCCTTACCAGGGTTTGTTTACGAAGACTCGTGACCTGACCCCTGCTTGTATCTCCAGCCTTTCTCCCAAACCCGGGGAGTTCCAAAGGTATTGGACTTGTACTGTTTATTCATGTTCTACACTGACCCTACCCTTCAAGGCCCTATTAAAATGTTCCTTCTGCTCCAGCAGCCCACCGTCCAGCTAGCTAACTGGGACTCATCCTTCAGAACTCAAGCATCACTTTGTAAGAGTTTAGGGGGAATGCATGTGTGTGCAGTCTGTGAGGGTAGGGTTAAGTCTCTGTCTGCTGGATGCTGCCAGGGCACTTAACAACCCTTTCTTAAGAGTTACCACGTTTGTGTGTCTGCCTTCCCAATCAACTCTGCAGGTCGGCTCTTTGATTTGCTCGTAACTGTATCCCAGCACTTTGCAGGGCTCTGGCACAGAACAGGCATCCAGTAAGACTATTTATCTGCATTAAACAGAGTGCCATGGCTTGGATAGTGAGAACTGCCTTATTTTACAGAAGAAAACACAGGGGACTGAAAGAGTGGTGTGAGCTGCGGGAGATCACAATGTTAGTTACTGGCAAGGCGGAGGGGAAGACAAAGGGAGTGGTCAGAAGACAGCCAGTCCTCCCAGCCACACTTGTATTGGGGGAACCTGCTGCTGTCCTCTCCTGGGGAAAGGAGACTTCAGCTGAAGGCTCTGGGCATGCCTGGGTCCTGGGTAGTCTCAAACTCACAACAAAGCCCCAGAATATGTAGGGTCCATGGTGAATTTCAACAAATGTTACAAAGAATGAAAGGGGTTGAAATTACACGCTCCTGTGTAAAACTCTCCTAGGGGAAGGGTGTTTTAAGGACGCCCTCACCTTAATTCCAGAAAGGCTTCTCCATGGGCCACAAGGCATACCGTTGCCAAGAAACCTCCGTGGCTCCTGTCGGCTCAACACCGAGGTACTAAACCAGGAGACAGAGGGAGGCGCCCCCAAGAGCCAGGGGATGGAGGACCAGAGGCAGGAGGAGGCGACCCTGCACTCAGGCTACAGAGGGCAGAGATGGCAGTAGGAGACCCCTTCCTTGCTAAGGTTTGGGCCCCGGGCCCGGGGCTGTTCCCCTTCTTCTCCCTCTCCTCCGACCTGGGCGTTCACCGGGATCAGAGAGGGTCGGGGAAGCCACCTTCTCAGATCCGGAGGTACCTCGTACGTACACCCAGAGGGCTGGGCCCCGAGAGAGGAACTGCGTCCTCACCGGCTGGTGAAGCCCTGGCAGCGTGTCCGTTTCCCGAGGAACCCTAGTCCGGTGCCCAGGGGCGGGTCCTCTGCGCGCAGAGCGTGGGGGGCGTGTCCGCGCAGAGGAATCCCCCAGGCAGACCCGCCCACTGAGTACCAGCGTGGCGCGGCTCCTCCTGCCGGGCCAGGTCCGTGAGGTCCCCGTGGAGCGCACAGGTAGCCCCCTCCCCTGGTGACGGGCTCTACAACTGCAAAAGTCTGTCCTTCCGTCCTGAAGCTCTGTGCGCGGACCACACTCCCCCCTCCTGGGACCTGGAGCAGTCCTTCGGAGGGTCCGCCGCGCTGCAGAGGCCCTCAAGCTTTCCTGTCCCTCCACTGTGGGGTCTGAGACTTGGTCGTGCTCCCGGTTAAGCGGTGGCCTCGCCTAGCCAGCCTTTGGCACCCGCCCCACGCCTTGCAGCACAGCCCAGAGAGGGTGTGGGGCGTCCCAGGCCTGCCAGCCCAGCCCTTCCGCAGGACCGCGCTCGGGAGGGACCGAGGTGAGCCAAGGGGAGCCCGGCCAATGGGGGAGGACCCCAGAGAAGACTTCGTGGAGCACAATTTAGCGGGGACCCCTCATCATTTCCTGTGTTCCCCATTATTTGGTGTGTGGGGCTTGTCCATTAGCACTGGGAAAATCAACGGAAGAGTTACATTACACCGAACGTTGGCCATCAGCCAGAATTTAAGCGCTTTTGTCTACATTAACTCATGTAATGTATATATATATCCTCATTGCTACTATGTGAAGTATTGGGTTGGCCAAAAAAGTCCGTTTAGTTTTTTTCAGTAAAATAAGACACATTTTAAAATTTCCACTAATAGCTTTATTGATTTGGGTATTTTCAGTATGTGGGCTATCTCCTGCTCTTGACCTCTAGTGGGTAGAGGCCAGGGGTAATGCTAAACACCTTCCAGTGCATAAGACAGCCCCACAGCAAAGAATTATTTCACCAAAATGTCAGTAGTACCAAGAAACTTTGCAAAGCACTTTTAACATGTTCGATCAGTAACAGCACCTTCTCCTTACACTGCACACATCTTTTTTTTTTTGGCCTTTCTGTTGCATTTTTACCTTTCTTGAAATAATAAAGCATAATGTTCCAAAAATGTTGCATATCTTTCCATTTTCAACATTAAAATGGCTGTACTAAAATTCACCAATTTTGATAAGATTTTTTAAAAAGATTAACACTGATATGACAGCTGTCACAATACAATCTAACAAAATTTTTTCAAATGAAGTTAAAGACGACTAAGAACTCCTAGAGCCATTGTAGGGAAGAAAACGAAACACACTTTTTGGCCAACCAAATAGTTACTGTTATACCCACTGTGCAGATTAAAAAACTGTTTTAGAAAGTGGAGTAGCTCCCATCTGCTCACAGAATGAGACCACCCAATCCAGGCCCCACATGTGGCACCCCACTGAGAAGGAAGAGGGGCCCTGGAGCTCTGCTAGGTTCCTATACTTGCTGAGATCCCCACTAACATGCCCTTCAGTCTCCCCCCAAGGTCTGCTTCAGACCACCAACACTCCCATCCCACTGTTTACCCCTATTTACACAAGCCCCGTCCCCCCGCATTGCTCTCCTTGTTGCTGGCCCTGTGCCTGGTTGGGCTGTGGTCTCACACTCCCTGCACCCCTAGACTCCAGGCTCTTTTTGCGTTAAGTCAGAACGGTGTAACCTGGATTTTTTGAAACTGAGGTCAGCAAAAATGAGAAAAGACCAATAGTGATGCCCTAGGCTGCAGAATGAAACCCACAAAAGTAAAATGAACTAAAGCAGCTACACAGTAAAGTTGTGTAAAAGGAAGAACAGACCTTGGCACTGAATACACCCTTAACAGAATTGAGTTACAGAGATTGCACTCGTGGTCCCAGTGGTCAGGGACACAGGGCACAGTCAGGGCATAGACGTGAAGAAGAGGCAGGCAGAGAAAGGGCGAGGCCCCATGCCACCCAGTTCATTTCCGGTGCTTGGTCCTACAGAAAGCCCTTGATCAGGCATCAGGTGCTCTTGTCTTTCTGCAGATGTTCACGGTCCCTGAGAAGGAATCCAGGCCGCTTACCACCTGTGTGGGCCCAGCCTCCACAGGTGGCCTGGACAGTAACTGCGGGGATGGTCTGGAAAGAGAATGCCCCAGCACATCAGACCAGAAGCCCCGGGAGCTCTATGGAGTGGGCCACCCCACCGCCAAGTTCTCCTCTGATAGCTCCTATCTGTCCTCAAGAGGGAGAGTCGTTAAATGGTTCTGGGACTCCGCCGAGGAGGGCTACAGGACCTACCACATGGACGAGTACGATGAGGAGGAGAACCCCAATGTGAGTGAAGCCCTAGCCCCCACCGGGCCCCAGGGAAGGACTGCAGGGGGGACACCCTGCCTCGAACAACAGGGCAGCAGCCGGCTTGCTTTGGTCATGTTGGACTTAGGATGCTCTGACCTCCAAAAGTCCCCTGACGTAGCCCAGGGAGGCCCCAGTTTATTACCTGGGTGAGAACGTGGTCCAGTTGTAATGAAAGGCCGTTGATTTGTGAGGGAGGGATTTAAGAACCGTGGGACGCTCTGATGTGGATTCTGACCCCTAGACCTTCAACTCTCAGCTTCAGAGCTGGGACAGAGCTAAGGTTTGGTCACAACTGTTTTACTCATGGCTGTGTATTCTTGAGTGGACTGCTTAACCTCTTTGAACTTCAGTTCATCTGAAATAAAATAATGACACCTGTTCTCTGTAACATCCCCAGGGAAATGAGAGCAGCTATGTGCGGTTGTTAGCACAGTGCCCCCGCACGGGCACTCTGTAATTGGTAGCTGCCGTTATTATTAATGTTATCTGTCCTGGCTTTTATAAGTCATTATCAATAATCCCTTCAGAGGGTGCAGAGCTGTCACGAATAACCCTTTGATAATCTTTATTTGTTGAACACCTTCCAGGTGCTGTGCACTATTCTAGATGCCAAGGTTGTAGGAGTGAACAAAAATTAAGCTTCTGCCCTTGTGAAGTTTAGTATAGTGGAGGCAGTAAATATATATGTGTGGGGGTGGGTGGGTGTGGGTGTATACATGTATGTGTGTATGCATACATATATACATATATAGTGATGAATGCTGTAGAGAAAAATGAAGCTGGGGAAAGAGAATAAAGAACAATGAGGTGGGCTGGGAACGTTGCTATTTTAGGTGAGATGTTCCCGAAAGAGCACTTTAACGAGGTGACATCTGAGCGGAGACCTGAACAAAGTGAGGGTTTGTGTTGGTTGTCCGTTGCTGTCTAACAAATCTGTTCGAACCTCAGTGGTTAAAACAGACGCCTCCCAGTCGCTGAGGTTCAGGAGTCGGGTGATTGCTGAGGCTGCCGGTCTCCCGTGAAGCCGAAGTGAGGCTGGGGCTTCAGTCCCACCTCCGCGGGGGTTGGGGGAAAGATCCACATTCGAACTCGCTTGTAAGCTTGTTGGCAGGACTGAGTCCCTCGCCTGACGAGCTTCTCCGCGGAGCTGCCTCATGACATGCCCCAGATGGAAAACCAGACTCTTTATAACTGAATCTTGGTGGAGACATCCTGTCACTTCCGCATGTTCGGCTCGTTAGAAGCAGGTCTCTCGGTCCGGCCCACACTCATAGAGAAGGGAACACACAGAGGTGTGACCGCCAGGAGGTGGGGATCCCTGGTGGCCATCGTGGACGCTGCCTGTCTCAGGGGACGGTTGGTGCAGAGCCCCAGGGTGGAACTGGGCTGGCTGAGCTCAAGAGAAAGCTGAGGGGTCAAGGGGTCGCTGGCTGGAGACTGGCGTGAGGGCAGAAAGGCCCTGGTGCAGGGGTGGTAACAGATCCCGGAGGGCCCCGTAGGACACAGTGAGGATTCTGATTTTAGACAAAGTGGGATGGAAAGTGTTCAAGGGAAGAGCAGTACATACGCTCTGATTTCAGTTTTTGCAAAGATGACTTAGACTTGGACTGCTGTGTGGGATTAGATGGGGGGGCAGTGGGAGCAAAAACACAAGTGGGGAAGCTTTTGCAATAATGTCGACAAGAAAGAGGTGCTTTCTATTTATCATAATCACAGCTCATTCAAGCTCTGCTTTCTCATCTTCCCTTTTTCAGTATTCCCACCCCCACCCCCACCCAGTAGCTCAGAGGTCAGGAGTTATAGTGCGTAAGTCTCTCTGGGGACTCTACAAGGGACAGCTTGGGCTGTGACTTCCCCCTCCCTCTCCTATGAGAATAATGTCGGATGGGGTGGGGATCAAGGCCTTGTGTGAAGTTCCCTGAGTCTCCCAAGGGCCCTTTCTACTGGCACTGGGATATTTTTTTTCTTTTTCTTTCTTTTTTCTCTTTATTTATTGATTTTAGAGAGAGAGAGGGGGAGAGGAAGGGAGGGGGGAGAGAGAGAGAGAGAGAAACATCGATTTATTGTTCCACTTATTTATGCATTAGTTGATTCTTGTATTTGCCCTCACCAGGGATCGGACCCACAACCTTTGTGTATGGGGACGACACTCTGATGAACTGAACTCCCTGGCCAAGGCCATCACTGAGCTCTTCTTGATCTACACCCTTGTTTCTCTTCCTACTTTGTATGTTCTTCCATCTTATCAATGTGGATGAGTCCTGCTGAGCCCCTTGAGGGGTACAGTGATCTCTGGGCATGGGTCCAGCCTGCAGGGGCCTTGCCATCTGTGGGGGAGGCAAAGCATGTTCCGCAGTCCCTGTGACCTGGGGCTGAAACTGACCAGTGCTCTAAAGGGGGACAGATAAAGAGCTTTAGGGCTCAGAAGAAGAAAAGGTCCCATCCAGGTGGCATTTGGGTAAGGCTTTCTGGAGGAGATGGCATGTGAACAGAGCTTTAGAAGTGGGGGGTTGGGGTCAGGGTGCAGAGTGGAGGGTGCGGCCCAAACCAAGTCAAGGAAGGGCGGTCGGAAGGGCAGGATGGCGGAGAGCTCCCACTCTGCTGCTTCCCTGACCTTCCATTGGCCGCCGTCCGCCATGCTCACTTTGCCTCTGCTCCTGTCCTCTGCAGGGCATCATTAACTTGGGCACCAGTGAGAACAAGCTCTGCCTTGACCTTCTGTCCAGGCGGGTAAGTCCTAGTGCACCTCTGGGTGCATCGCCAGCTCTCAGGGCCTGTCTCCTCTCCGACTCCCCAGAATGCTTCTCCCGCAAGAGCCTGCTGCTTGCCTGAGGGACCTTGGCCTGGGAGTCAGGAGTCCAGGTTTTACTTTCTATGTGGTCTCGGGCAATTTACTTCCCCTACTCAAATCTTGCTTCTTTAAAAAAAAAAATTTATTTCTTTTTAGAGAGAGGGGAAGGGAGGTAGAAAGAGAGGGAGAGAAACATCAGTGTGAGAGAGAAGCATCTATCAGCTGCCTCTTGTCCATGCTCCAACTGGGTAACAAACCCACAGCCCAGGCACGTGCTCTGGCTGCAAATCGAACCGGTGACCTTTTGCTTTGTGGGATGATGCTCAACCCACTGAGCCACGCTGGTTAGGGTGTGATCCTGTTTCTTTATTTTTCCAGGCTCCTCCCCTCACTCAGACTCTCCTCTTAGCTGGGTCCCTGCCCTCAGGGGAAACACTCAGTGGTGACCGTGTGGTCAGTGGTGAACAACTGGCTCTGTGGGGGGTGGTGCTGCTTTGTAGCTTTTGCCGATTCCCATAGTGTAAATACCCCCACCACTGCCGGTTTCAAGCTACCAATGTGACATTGTTGCACAGAGAATTGGGAAAAGAAGTGTGGCGGCACACACACACATACACACACACACGTGCGTGCACACACACAGGGAGGGGCAGAAGTAGGTTTGCAGTTGTGAGCATATAACAGTTTATTCTTACATTGTGACTTATTACTTATTGTATTATTCTTCATACGAACAACTGTAAACCTGCTTTTGCTCCACCCTGTGCGGTGCTGTCCTTCCTAGAAACAGACAGAAATAATCTCAAGAGCACAGTTAATAGTAAAATGTAGTGACAATCAGGAGCAATGTTGAGCATTGACTACCTTTGTTTTTAATACAATTCCCTTATATAATTTACATGTAATTTGTATAATTTAAATTCTGAAATGGCTGTTTTGAACACAGCTTGCAAAATTTCCAGAAGTTTAATAATCAGATTTCTTGAGCCGGTGCCAGCCATCTCCAGTGAACATGCCTGATTAATGTGTGTCCCGAGGCTGAGGAGGCAGAGTTCGGATTGTAGTGGGAGCGATGCTTAATTCAAAGGGACATGTGTCCAAAGGGGACAAATTCAAGCCCCAAGGGGAGAGGGAGCTCGTGTGGGGAGTTGCACTTGAAAGGCATCTTCTTCCCAAAGCCAGCTCCTTCCCATCCAAGGCGCTCTGCACCCCCAACAGAAATAAAATGTGAGCCACGTGTATACTTTTAAAGAATCTATTAAGTAAAAAGAGACTGGCGAAATTCATTTCAATAATACACTTTATTTATCTGAATACATTTAAAATGTGCCCATTTCAGCATGTCATTGATGAAAAACTTGTCCATGAGGTGTTTTGCACAGTTTTTTTCAGATCAAGTCTTTAACATCTGATGTTTCCCAATTCAGACTACCTATATTCCAGGTGCTCAAGAACCATATATGGCTAGTGACTTCCGTACTGGGCAGTGCAGCTCCAAGGGATGAAGGGGAAAAGGAAGGGCTAGAGTTACATCCGGTGGCCGATTCCCTTTCTTCACTGGTCCCACTGCCCAAGGACCCTGCCTTTCCTTGGCACCGTGTGGGGGATGCTCGGGCATCACCAAGCCAGCACCTGGTCAGGGTGGGCATGGGCTAGAAATGGCCACATTTTCCAAAGCGTGAGGTCAAACTGAGCCTGCAGGAAGGCTGTGGCCTGAGTCCCTCCAGAATTTGGAGCCAAGACCAAGGCAAAGGCCTCCAGTGCCGGGACCTCTTCTTTCACCCCCGGGAGGAGCTGGGTAGCACGGTCTCCCAGCACGGCCTCTGCAGAGCCACCCCTCTGGTCTCTTCAGGTGGCAGTGTTGAAAGAAGGACACTGGACTAGAAGTCAGAAAGTCTAGGCTTTTTCTCATATCTGCCACTCACTAGCTCTGTGACCTTGACTGAGTCATCTCACTTCTTTTTAGCCTCAGTTTCCTCCTCAGCAAAATGGGCATGAAAGTGCTGCCCCTCTCCCAGTGTCTTTGGTGGGCAGACCAGGCCCTTGGCTGGAGAGACCCTGCTGCTGTTGTGGGGATGCAGGCAGGGAAGCCGACCAGCCCTGCCCCTGAGGGTGTGTGCCCCTCAGCCTGCTCTTCCTTCTCTGTCCCCAGCTGAGTCAGAGTGACATGCTGCAAGTGGAGCCGTCTTTGCTGCAGTATGCCGACTGGAGGGGACATCTGTTGTGAGTAGTTGTCATAGGCCTGTGGTTCTCCACCGCAGGGTGCTTTCGCTCCCTGTGGGACATATGGCCATGTAGACATTTTTGGTTGTCATAACTGGGGAGCGGGTGCTACTGACATTTAGTGGGTAGAGACGAGAGATGTTGCTAAGCCTCCCACAAGGCCCAGGATGGCGCATACAACAGAAAGTTATCTGGCCCCAAATGTCCACAGTAGCAGGTCGAGAAAGCCTGCCTTAGGCTAAGGGCCTACTTGGCCCCAGAGACCTGGCAGGTGACCACGGGCTCTCCCGGAGCACGTGCAGGGCCCGGTGCCTCCTGCGGTGCCCCCAGCTCAGGAGCTCCCTAGCTCGGTTTCCCCGGCTCTGAGGCATGGGGTGGGGGGGGGCTCGTACGAGGACTCTTCGACCCCACATTCTCAGTAGTATTAGAGGAGCCAGAATCAGTTTCAGGGGAGCTGGCCTGGCCTTCGTCCTGCCGGTGAGATGGGAGATGGTGAGTAACACTCGTACTGACTGAGCACTTACGAGGGGCCAGGTGCTGCCCTAGGGCTCAGAGACTGAGCACGACTGAGACCCAGAGTGGTCCCGAAGCACCTGTTCCTATGGTTACTGGGAGGGCGGGCGCTTCCATCAGACCACTGGGCTTGGGTGTGGACTCTGCCACTGATTAGCAAGTGACCTAATTCCTTCGAGTCTCAGTGTTTTTGTCTCTACAATGGGAATGATGATAATAGTTGCATCATAGGGTTGTTATGAAGATTAGTGAGTAAAATTCTCCAAATAACAGCTGCATAAGGTCAACGCTTAAAAAATATCAGCAATAATAACTATGATAATAGTCACTGTTATAATAGTAATGCCTGTGATTATTATTAGCTGGATGGACATAGGGAGTGTGGCTGATCGTGTGCCTGCCACCTGCTGATTCAGGGGGTGGGCTGTCCTAGACCTGCAGAGGGGCACAGTTTGGATGCCTGCAGGGAGAATTGGGGGTCGGGGGAGAGGTGGGCACTGAGGAATGGACACAGATGCTGATTGCACTTCCCTGTGGGAAACGTGGGGGGCGATGGCAGCTGCCTGAGGACTCACCAGAGGGACTTTGGGGTGGACTGTGGGTCAAAGACCCTCCGACAAGCGCTGCCTGTCCGTCTGTCTGTCTTGTCTGCAGCCTCCGGGAGGAAGTGGCTAGGTTCCTGTCTTTCTACTGCAAGAGCCCCACACCCCTTAAACCGGAGAGTGTGAGTAGCCCCTTCCCTCTGCTCCTCCCTGCTTTCCTGCTCCTCTCCCCCGGCTCTCGGCTGGCCAGGGTAAGCTCGGTTGGGGTCTGCCGTTCCCTTTGTTTTGCTTTGTTTCCGAGGGGAATTAGGACTCCCCTTCCTTTTGCCCCCTCCTCAGAGTTTTGGTATGATTTCTGCCCCACCTGGTCCTGGGGTCCCTCATTGTCCCCATACCCTTGGGCAAGACGCTGAGTGAGCAGCTCCCTCTTCCTTGCCCAGCTGACTTAGAGCAGGATGCCCACAATTAAGCCACACAAGTGAACTTGGCTATTAGTCAGGAGGGGCCTTTGGGGACCTCCTGTGGCTTTGCTGCGACAGAGCCCGAAGGGCTCACTCCGTTGTACCCTGGCTCTCCCTCTGGGCCACCCAGGGACAGGGGCCGCAGGTTCTCGGTCCCTCCTTAACAGACTTATCTTTGTCCCCTGGCCGTGTCCCCTTCAGGTGGTCGTCCTGAATGGCTGTGCCTCTCTCTTCTCTGCTCTGGCCATGGTGCTGTGTGAGGCCGGGGGTAAGTGGCCCGCTTAACACTGGGAGCTGCCCTGTGCCTGCAGTGTCCCCAGCTGCCTGCCTTCAAAGGCTGCATCAGGATGCTTTCAGCCATAACAGACTACTGTACTACTGGGGGCTTAAATAAGTGGCTTGACAAGGCCCCAGGGGTCAACAGTTCCAGGGGAAGTCAACATGATGCCAGGGTTCTAAGAGCCACAGTCATACTGAGAACACGTTGACCATGGTCATGGTCAGGGGTTGTTGGTTGCCAGGAACGGAGGCCCACTCATGCTAATATAGTGAGTGATGATAACAGTAGTAATGTTTATTGACCACATACTACATTCCAGGCACTGGCTAAAGGCTTTATGCATAGTCTACCATGTGACCCCACAACGACCCCTGTGAGGTGGGTTCTGTGGTTGGCCGGGCAGCAGATGAGGAGGTGAGGGCACAAAGCATAAGTAACTTGCTAAAATCACACAGAGAGGTAGTAACCAGAATTTGAACTGTAACAGGGAGATTCCTAACCAGGATATAATAGGCAATTAGACAATTTTTCTGCCCATTCTAGAACATCAAGAATGAGATCAGCGGAGTACAGACATGCATCGCAGTCCCCATTCCCTGCCCCAGCCACCCTGCGCCCCCTTGCTTTTTATGCAGACCTTTGTCTGGACTTTCCTCTGGTCCTGCGCCGCCCGGGGTGCTGGCCCAGCTCTCAGTCCTCGTGGCTTTTCCATTCAAGTACAACTTCCCCACTCACAGTGTCTGTGCTCTTGGAGCAAAATCTTGAGAGAGAGAACATGATGGATTGCTGGCAATCGAGTGAATTGGTTCCCTGGGATCATTTATCTATGTCTGGTCCAGTCCTTGTGGCTGGGGAGGGGACCCATAGACAAAGGCCGGCCCTTTCGGCTCTGCATTGGAGTAGAGCTTACGGTCACCTCCCGAAGCCCCACCCACAGCAGGAATCCCTGCGTGACATCCTCTCCTCACAAAATGGCCTCAGCCTTTTGTTTGAATGCCCTCAAAAGTGGAGAATCCAATCCTCCTGAAGCAGCATTTTACACCTCCGGGCAGTTCTACACGGGGACAAGATTTCCCATTGGTTCGGTCCAGATCGTCACCCTGCAGCTTTGACTTGCAGGCTGAGTCTGCTTAGAGTGGCTCCCGCATGTTGAGTGTCTCTGTGGGGTCCTCTGAGCTTCAGTTTCCTCATTGTTAAAGTTAGGATGACGATAGTACTTATTCCACAGAGTGATTATGAGGATCTAGTGAGATGAAGTGCAAATAGATGTTTGGCACAGTTCCCAGTGCGTAGTAAGTGCTCAATGAACATTAGCTGGTGATTATTAGAAAAGGGACTACTCTCAGTGGATCCAAGTTCAAGAAAGTGTGTTGGAAGTTGGGGCAGGGAGCGTGCCCTAGGTGTTCCCCAGAATCACTGAAGGCTTGAAGAGGCCCGGGGCCAGTGGACATGGGGTCTGTGAGCTCCAGCCAGAGGGTGACAGACCCTGGCCCACTCCTGCCCCCAGAGGCTTTCCTGATCCCTGCCCCTTACTACGGAGCCATCACGCAACACGTCTATCTCTACAGCAATGTCCGACTGGTCTATGTCTATCTGGACAGTGAGGTAAGATTTCCTGCTGGCCAAGACTTTCCTGCATCCAGATGTGAGGGTGGACATGGGTGGAAGTCCCTGCCGAGGGCTCACGGGTTATGGCTGAAAGGACAGTGGAGGCTTCTGTTGCCCGTGGCCAGTGCCTGGGTTCCCTGGGGCTCCACTCGTTGACCTCTGAGATCCCTGGAATCGCCGAGGGCAGCCCCAGGGGACCACACCAAAATGCGGGGTGAGGATGGGGCAGAGCAGACTTCAACGTGGAAGTCCCTGGCCCCCAGTCAGAGGACCCCTGGGGCCTCTTCCTGAAACCTAATAGCAATGAGGGTGTCTCTGATGTGGGGGGGGGGTAGGGATGGGGGATGGTGGGGGGGGCAGTGAGCCCACCTAAATTTTTCCAAAGACTCTTCTAAGGATGCTGGAGATGATGGGTAGGAGAGCCCCCAGGAGTTTGGGGTGGGGGTCACTGAATTTGTTTGTGGATCTTTTTGCAGGTCACTGGGCTGGACACACGCCCCTTCCAGCTCTCAGTGGAGAAGCTGGAGATAGCCCTGCAAGGAGCTAATTCTGAGGTCTGGGGATGGAATCAAATCCAAGGCTGGGAGTGGGGGTTCTGAGCAGGGCACGGACCCCTCTTCCTGTGGCTGGTCTACTGCCTGGTTGGGTTGGCGCTCTGTGCTGAGGACGGGCACAGGCATGGACCAGTGGGGGTCAAGCAGGAGTTTGTCCCCGCAGGGTCTTCCCACCAGAGCAAGGCTCTGAGACCTCGGTGTACAAATAACCGGCCAAGGTGGCTTCATCACAAACACTACCCCCACTTTGCCTGGCTCTGATTCAGCAGGCCGGGTGTGCAGCTCACAAGTCTGCAGTTGAGCAACCTCCCGGCCACCTGAGGAGCTGGTCCCCTCACTCTGGGGGGATCCGAGGCCTCCCGGAGAAAGGCAGAGAGCAGTAATTCTCCAGTGGTTCCTAATTTTTTTTACCATGATCATGAAAGCTGTACATGTTCACTGTGGGAATTTTAACAGTGCCACCCACATCATTCTACCAACACAGGCCACCCTGCCAGCGTTCGGACGCATTTCCCTCGAGGCTTTGCTCTCTGCATTTGTTCTCTTTCGTAGCTGGCGTGATGCTGCCAAGTTCTCCGCCTTGCTTGCTTCACGTTGGGTGGCGAACACGGTCCCATCACAGTCCCTGGGAGCCTTCCCCACAACCAGCCCCACCCCGTGGGACCCTGTGGCTCTGGCCTTTGCACGGAGCTAAGGGTCTGCTGCCCCACTGGTGGTTTTAGGGTGTGAAGGTCAAAGGCCTCATCCTCATCAACCCCCAGAACCCTCTGGGTGATATCTACTCCCCAGAAGAGCTGCGAGAGTACCTGGAGTTTGCCAAGAGGTGAGGCACCTCACACTCGCCCGGTCCTTTGGTGGACGGGGGTTCTAGCAAAGGCTTTGGGGAAGGTCCTTCTACCCTCTTTTCTCCACCGAGGCTTCCACCTGCTGGCGCCTCCTGGCAGTGGGGTGGGCAAGTAGCTAGTTCTTTCTCTCCCTCTCTACAACAACAGCTATTATTTACTGCACGGGCTGGGGCCCAGGCACCTGCTGAGCACTTCATGGGCTCTCTCACCTAACCCTTCCAACAACCGTTTGGTCCAGCTACCGTTATTACGCTGTTTACTGAGCCTAAGAGTGAGGGGTCGAGCCGCACCGACTCTGGTCTGTTCCTATTTAACTGTCTTGCACTAACTGTCCTTCCTCCATGTGTGTGTGGGGGGCAGTGCCTGAGGGCTCCGCCTCCCCCCACAGGGCTTCAAAAGCCCCACTGTCATCTGCTTTGTGCGTGTGGCGTCCTGGGTGTTTGAAATTTGGTCACCCTGGGCTGGACCCGGTCCCTCTGGATTTCTGACTTACTGCTCCCCCACCCTGGGGGATGCACGTGACCTGTAAACCAAGCTGTCTTCCCTGCCGCCGGCCCCAGGCACCAGCTGCACGTGGTGGTGGACGAGGTCTACATGCTGTCCGTGTTTGACGAGGCGGTCGGTTACCGCAGTGTCCTGAGCCTGGAAAGGTGAGGCTGCTACATCAGAGTGGACTCTCCCTCTGCCTGACCCCTGCCCTGGCCCCCTGCCCTGGCCTCCATGGCTCAGCCACAGCACATGGCCAGCCCCAGAGTGTTTCCTCTTCCATCCAACTGATCCCTTTGTCCTCAGAGCCCCTGATGAGAACAGGGAGACGGGGACTGGAGGATGGGGCTGGGTCAGTGGTTTTCAGATGGTTCTGTGAGGCTTCTGAGAGCCCCCTCCAAGGAGGGGCTTTAGGATTCCTTGAGGGAGGGCTGCATGGGTGGGAAACTGGCCTCTGTTGTTTCATTCATCCCCTGAGTAGCTCCAGCTTCATTCATTCACTCACTCACTCATCCATTCATCCATTCAGCAAATATTCTGGGCTTCCTTGAATGTGCCATGCGCTTCTGGCGCTTTGGGCTTTTTCATTAGATTTTGTGTGAGCCAAGTGTTTGTGGCTGAAACACCTGTGGGAACACCTGGAACGGACCATCTGTTAAGTCTGTAAACCTGACATTCAGGAGCCCGACAGTTCCCGACATCCGTCCAGACCTCGCAGCCCTGCTAAGTCCTTTCCCTCTGCAAGTCTTCCAGAGCTTGGCCGAGGTCGTGGGCCCGGGCTGTTCCTCCCCTCCATTTGTGGGTTAGAAAAGTGATGCACAGAGAAACGGTGGCTCGTCCTCCACTCTGTAGCGGACACACGCAAGGTGCTGGCGATGCAACCGTGAACAAGAAACACGTGGGCCCTGTCTATGGAGAACTTTATTTCCAGCCAGAAAAATAAATTTAGCAGCTAAATACACAGCTGATCATTTGATTAAGTGCTACAAGGAGAAAAGCCTGGGGAGCCGTGAGAGGATCAGCTTGGGGTACCCCCTAGGCTTGGTTAGGGGTCTCTTTGAGGAAGCGACACTATAGCTGTGCCTGAGATCGGGGGTGGCAGACACTTCAGCTTTACGGGCCATGTGGTCTTTCATTCCGCTCCGCATCATGGCACCGAAGCGGCACAGTGTGTACACCAATGAGTGTGGCCGTGTTCCGATCAGACTTGCACTGAAATAGGCAGCAGGCAGACTTGGCCTGCAGGCTGGTGTTTGCCGGCCCCCTGCCCTAAAAGATGCATGGGACTTGGTGATTCAAGAGACGGAAGCAGGGTTTGACCCAGAATCCCATTCATCCACCCACCTCCTTCTGTGTCCAACCGAACGTGTGAGTGTGCTGCCCTCGGCTGCGTGCTGCCCCCCGACCCGCACTGTGCTCTCTGCAGGCTGCCTGACCCCCAGAGGACCCATGTGATGTGGGCCGCCAGCAAGGTGGGTTCCTGGCTGGCCTTGGGGTGTGAGGGAGGCGGGAAGGCAGGGAGGTGGGCAGAGCCGACTGTCTCCGGGGAGGGCTGGCCATGGCCTAGGGAAAATGGACCTTTTTGTACCCTTCTCCTGCAGGACTTTGGGATGTCCGGGCTCCGCTTCGGCACGCTCTACACAGAAAACCAGGATGTGGCCACTGCGGTGGCTTCCCTCTGCCGCTACCACGGCCTCAGTGGCTTGGTCCAGCACCAGATGGCACAGCTGCTCCGGGACCATGGTGACTGTCTGGGCCGGGCCACCTGAGGATGGGGGTGGGGCTGTGGTCAGTGTGGGACCAGCCAGGGATCATGGATGTTCTGTGCATGGGAAGAACTCGGGGTGGTGTTGGAGAGTGCCAGCTGTGGGTTCACACCCTGTTGGATCGCTTCCCGGCTCCACGGCACATTCCTTCTCCTCCTCGAGCCTCAGTTTCCTCATCTGTAAAGCAGGATCACAGTGGTCACTGTCTTATCGGGTTAGTCGGTGTGATTTGTCATTCAATCAGAAAGGTGCCCGGCATGTAGTAGGCACTCGGTCAGTGTGAACTCACTATTGTTAGCTGTGAGCCCTTGAGCACAGAAGCTACTAATGGAAAAATGTTGTGATGGAAGTTTCCACATGGATCTGTTCTGTTCCCTGGTTCGGATCGCGAGTCTAGGTGGCAAAAGGACCTGTAATCGCCCCCCTTGATCGCCCCTGCTGGATGTTCTCCACACGTCACCCCCTTTGTCTCTCCCCAGAATCCTAGGACGCATGTATTCCTGCATTTCCCCCGTGGTTTTATAGATGAAAAAACGGGGACCAGACACTGTGTATCTGCTGTAATAGCTAAACTTTTAAAAATAGTGGGAGCGTCAGATGCCAGTGAGGATGCAGACAGCGGGGTGCTCCTGCCGTGCTGGTGGGAACGTAAGACGGAGCAGCCTCTGGGGAAAGCAGGGGGCAGTCGCTCATGAAGCTAAATACCAACGGCCCAGCGACGCTGCTCCTAGGTAGTTCCCATTATGGTCACACAAAAAAGCTCCATGTGAAGGTGTGTAGCTGCGCTCTTCATCGTCCCCCGAACTGGAAACAACCCAGGTGTCTCCACAGATGGACAGAGAGACAAGTGGTGGTCCATCCCCATGGGGCCAGGGGGCAGCGCCCCTCTGCAATAAAATCCACGACAGCTCACCTTAAGCTCAAAGGCATTAGGCTGAGTGGAAGGAGCCAGTGTCGGAAGATGACATCACTGTGCGATGCCACTTTTATGACACCCTGGAAAAGTGACAGGGAACAGGGCCGAGTGCTTTAACCCCCATTCTGAATATTCCCATCTCCCCTAATTGGCCAGCTGCGGGGAGGGGCTCCCCCGGTTTGGGCAGCTGGTGGCCTTCTTCTTTTCAGCATTTTAGGCCCACAGGACAGATTGGGGGCTTGACGGCAGATTTACTGCTGGCTCCTCTTTCACCCAAACAGACTGGATCAACCAGGTGTACCTGCCGCAGAACCATGCCCAGCTCAGGGCTGCTCACGCCTATGTCTCTGGGGAGCTCCGGGCCCTGGGGGTCCCCTTCCTGAACCGGGGGGCCGGCTTCTTCATCTGGGCCGACTTCAGGAAGGTAGTTTGGGGGCAGGGGTGGGGATTGAAGCCTCCCTCCAGCAGGTGAGGAGCAGGGACGTGTTCTCTGCATCCTGAGCCCCTTCCCTCCTCCCAGTACATGCCCGAGGCCACCTTTGAGGAGGAAATGCTGCTCTGGCACCGCTTTTTGGACAACAAGGTGCTGCTGTCCTTCGGCAAGGCCTTCCAGTGCAAAGAGCCCGGGTGGTTCCGCCTGGTCTTCTCCGACAAAGCCCACCGGCTTCGCCTGGGTAAGCAGTCTGCCCTCCCAGCCCCTCCTAACCGCAGCCTCCCTCTGCCGTCCTTCTCGCCCCACTTGTGGTCCCAGCAACCCCAGCTTGTTCCTCCCCACCCACCCGCATCAGTGTTGACAGGGCCCTCACTTCACCTTCCCAGGGATGCAGAGGGTTCAGCAGGTGCTTAAGGGCACATTCCAGGTGGCAGAAGACCGCCCTTCCTGTGAGACCCAGGAGCCCCGGGGCCAGCACAGGTGAGCTGGTCACTGCCTTGTGGCTGCTACTGCCAACCCGGGGTGTTTAAGGATGCAAAGAGCGACCATGGCTGAGCTGTTTGCTGGGGAGATAGCCTGGCCCTTGAAGAAGAACCGTTCCTTGCCTCTTTGTGGCAGTGGGAGACTCCTTAAGTTGTGTTCGACCTGGTCTGTCCCCTGCCCCCTCCCCCCTCTATTAAACAAAACTGGGAGAAACTAGAAGCCTCTGTTGTGAGTAATTTGTAGAGGGGAGCAGGTGACAGCCCCTCACCCCCTGCGGATGTGCAAAGACAACAAACGACCTGGACCTTCTCTTTAGCAGCACTTTCATTCTTCCCCTTTGTTGCCAGGGAAACAAGTCAAAGGAATACCGCCCAGAAGAGAGGATATGCCCCCAAATGAAAAAGAGGGATAATTTCCAAACTATAAGGAGAAAGGACTGAGTTCTACATGTTCAAATTGTTCTCCATACACATAGGTTGTGTGGCCCTGGGACCTGAGACCTGGGCCCACCTCTGTGGGGAACAGGTGAACAGGACCCCCTGGTGGGAGTCCGGAGGGGCTTCTTTGACGCTGGGATGTCCGTCCTTACTCTTCCTCCTCCGTCCTGGGAAGGAGCCACTTTCACTGATGATCCCAAACCAGAGTGACCTACTCATGACTGGGGGTGGGGGGACGTAGGGGGCTGGACCCTGAACCCAGGCCAGGCTGCTGTTGAAACTAGCTTTCTTTCCACCCTAAGAATGGAGAAGGGTTGCCCACCCCATCCCCAGGGTGCATTAGTTCAGAGCCCAAGTGAGCCTGTTGATCTGAGCTTAAAGCCATGGGCTGAGGACGCTCCTGTTTAGAAAAGCTGTCTCTCTCCTTGTTCCTCTTTCAAAGAAATGTTGGTGAAATCAGCATTTCCTTTCTGTAAACCATGCTACTTGGTTTAAGATTTGTTTCCCTCTTTCTTTCTGCCTTTCATTCATTCATTCATTCCTTCTCCCTGTATTTTCTCAAATTCCCTCAATGTACCAGACACTGTATTGGGTTAACTACAGGTGTTATTTCTAACTCTAATGTAGTAAGTCCCTGGGAAGCTGACATCAGTGTCCTCCATTGTAGAGATGAGGAAACTGAGTCTTGAAGAGCCGGAATGATGTTCCCAAAGTCACACAGCTAAAAAACATCAGAGATAGGACCCAAAGTCAGTTTCAAAGTTGGGTTCAAAGTCCTGTGCGCCTTGCGCTCTGATGGTGCCACGTTTCCTGTACAGCTACACCCTTTCTAACACACGTGTCCTCACTCACTGGGTTGGGAGGGCTCAGTGAGACCTTTGCTTTGTCTTCTACCTTTCAAGTGAATAACGTAATAGCCTCTCCTCTTTAACCACCAGGACACTCGGCCACCTTCTCAGAGGCTTTGGGCCCCGGCTCATGTTTTTTTTTCTTTCTGTGCAGTCACCCTCGGCTTCTTTAGCATCGTGTAGCTTCTAATACCATAGCTCCTCTACTTTCTCACCTCCAGTACCCTGCAGGGATTCTACCCCTAGGAGTGTAGCCAGACTGTTCAACCACCCTGGGTCTCAAAACTCCTGTTCATTCTGATGGCTTCTCCTTTATAACACCTGTGCCTATGACTTTTTCTGCCACCTGGATGGCTCTGTTGACCTTTCTACTTGTCAAAACCCCAAGGACCAGCAAAGTCTCCTCCAGGACCAGCAAAGGTATCGGGTCTTGCATGAAGCCTTCCTACATCTTCCCAACCAGGTGTGGTTGCTTTCTTTTGAACCCTGTAGCATTTAAGAAAATATTCTCCTGTGCCACTTTTCACCTTCTGCTTTGGCTCATCTGACTTGTCCATTTGTGTTCTTTATATGGAGCTCCCCCGGCACCTGGGCCCCCTTTTTTTCACTCAGAAAATATTCACAGAGCACTTTCTATGTGCCAAGTACTGCGTAGGGTTATCAAGTAAATAAGATAGGTGGGCTCCCCAAAGACTGTGCCCAACACAGGTCTTTAACACAGGAAGTCCTTATTTAATGAAAGAATGATTACTTAAAGACATATCTGTATATATTTAATACAGAGCTAGATGAAGAAAACAAAATGCTCTTCACTTCTCCAGTTCTCAAACGGGGTGCATGTGTGCCGAATTTCCTGTTGTTTGGGGGGATGTGGATTTGGAATGCAGAGAAATGCTTTCTTGGGTGCGCAGAAGCAGAAGGTGGGTTTCCCATCTCCAGACTACTCTCATCCCAGTCTCCTGGGATCTGTGACAAGCCGGCAGGAGTATTTCTGAAGTAACACAAGAGTGTTTCTGAAATGGCTGTTGCTGCTGGAAGCCCCAGTGAATCTCCCGGGGAAGTGGCAACTTCCACCAGATGGCGCTAAGGTACAGCTGGGGACTCGGCCGCCCTTATCAATAAAGAGGCTCAGTGAGTGTGGTCATTTCGTTAACTTCTAGGTAACAGCGCTTCGAATTTTGATAGAATTTTTTGGAATCCACTTACTAGATTAGAACAGGGATTTTACTGTGTATGTAGAAGGCTAAATCACATAAACAATACAAAAACACAGCGAAAATGATAGTCTTTCTTCCCCATTTCTTCCTCCATAATTGCTCTACCCCAAACTGTTGCTTTTCAGATTCCTTTCGGAAAAAATATTATACATATGCCTTATATGTACAATCATCTACATATATATTTTATCTCTCGTTTTTGTATTTGTATATATGTGTATATATGTGTGTGTGTACATATATAATATATATACATTTCTTGGCTTTTTTTTAAACATAAAAGGGATCCTACTTGCCCAGTTTTGGACCATGCTTTCATTTGAACACATCTGGAAGATAATTCCATGCCAACACATATGTGCAGTCTTGAATTATTCCGTTCTAATCACTTATTTTGATTGTGTCCAGTTTCTTTGCTGTTATTAGAAATAGTACTGTAATGAGTATTTTTGACAAGCACCGTTGAGACTATCCACAGGGTAAACTTCATACAGGGATAGTTGGGGGGGAAGGGTACCGCATTTTATAGTTGGTGGATCCTGCCAATTGCCTTCCAGGGATGTTGCACACCCACCAGTGCTGATTATAATGCTACACAATAGCATTATAATGCTTACATTTAATGCTGAAGTTTTCCAAAATTATGAACAAGGCTGCCTGGCTTTGAGTTTCACTGTGGAACTTGAGCTTGATGCCTGCCTCGGAGAAAAACGGTGCCCTGACTCCTCCTGTCCAGCAGGGGGCGCGGGCCCGGGCCGCTCCCGCATGCGCAGCGCGCTAGGTGTCAGACGGCGAGCGGGGTAGCCGGCCCAGCGTTTCTCGCTCGCTTAGCCTTGGCTCCTGCCGTGGCGGCCGCCAACTGGCCGCTATCCCCCTCGGGCTGCCGTGGCCCACACCCTGCGGCATGAGCCGGTGACCGAGCGCGGGGCCGCGCGGGAGGCAGGCGTGGCCGAGGTAAGCGCAGCGGGGAAGGGCTGGCGGGTGCCGAGCTGCGGGCTCCGGCCTCCCCGGGCCGCGGCGGAGTCTGGCCCCGGCCGCCGGGAGAGCGCGGGCGGTGCCGAGGCCGGAGGGCTTCGAGAGGCCCCCCTTACCTTCTCTGGGTCTCAGGACGAATTACCGCTTTTGGAGCGCTTTGATTTCCGCACCGCCTTCTTCTTCACCTGGCTCTCCCGGCACTTGGTTCCCACCTGTCTTCCTGGTCCACTGCTATTCCCCGTCCGCTCCTTTCATTTCTCCTGGGCCCTGCAGGTTCCTTTTCTCGCGGGGCCCACGCTCCGCCGTGACCTCTCCCACCTCCTTCCGGAGAGCTGCTTCCTCCCACGGAAATTTCTGGCGCTCTGGGCTCTGCGGAGGCCTGGGGCATCCAAGTCAGTGGCTGGATGCGGTGGGCAGGACTGGGTGCACTGCGCCCCGCCCAATTCGGATAGAGGACTAGGTGGGGAAGGTGACCGAGGGTGTCTGGGCTCTGGACGTGGACTCGAAGCCTAGGGGCATTTGGAGTTTTCCTGCTGGCGGTGGGAACCAGATCTATGTATGCGTTTTGAGACTCAACTAATTGCTTGAGTCAGTTTTGATTCTGAGTTAGTTAGTCGAGTGCTCTAAGGACTTAAACTGGACTTGGTTTGTAAATTTCAGAGCTCAAAGGCTATTCACGGTTATAAAATATGATTCATTTCTCATCATTTGTCACTTCCGCAGATTTAAGCCTTCTCGTTTTGTATACTGGTATGAATGGATAGATTTTCTTCTGTCAGGTTATGCTGGCTTTGCTAATTGAGGAGTGAGAAAAATTGATCTAATGCAGACTTTTAAAGATGATCAGGGGAGGCAGCTTCACGTGTGAAGGAGCCAGGCTGCCACCCCGCCCGTCCTAGCATCGGCATTTTCCAGGTGTGTGCCTTTGGGCACGATACCTAGCCTTGCTGTTGTGCGCTCCGTGTGTGTAAAGTGAGGATAATAATAGCTTGTCACACGGCACTGTTAGGAAAATTACATAAGTTAACTCAAAGTGCTTCAAACAGCTCATGGCATATAGTAAATCTGCAGCAGAGTTTAGTTATTGGTTACTTAATTATATGCATTGGATTGTTTATTGTATGATCCCACTAACAAAGGGGCAGTTTTTTTTTGTTGGAAGCCAGTTTTAGGGCTGGTTAGTCCCAGTATAACTTATAAAGGACTCAATCATGTAAGGCAATGAATTGCAGGTTTTCCTGGTTTTGTGGATGTTGCATTGTTTTCGGTCACAGTTGGGTTACGTTCCAGTGGCGCTGGCCCTGGGAGTCCAGCTGTGAGTGTTTTCTGCTCAGGCTAACGGAAGATTATGACTTGAAATGTTGGACCAAGTGGCCTGGAGATAGCCTGAAATGCCAAAGAAGGGTTATTCAGGCCAGAAGAAAGGTTTTGGGAATAAATAATTCCAGGAACAGAAAATGCATCTCATCTGCACAGTATGGTGGGGTTAAAAGGTTTTTTCCAGTGACTCAGTGCTTGACAGCCAGCCAGGCGGTTGCAGTGTTTCGCAGGGACAGGTTGGTGTATTTCAAGGAGAGGGAAGTTTGAAGGGCTCTGTTGTGAAATTCTTGGTTTGATCCAGGTGGTGGTATCCCTTGGAACAAACGTTCTTTAGTAGGAGATTCCTTCCGGTCTGTCCTCTTCAGCGGAGCTCAGTGGGAGGGGAGGGGAGGGTGTCGAGGGGCGGACTCTGAAAATTCATTCTTTACCTAGCCTTTCCCCACTTCAGGAATTCTAATTCAAAAAGGAAACGAATCACTTTATCACCATGTAATAACTCAGAACTTGGACCCTGGGTTGTGTGTGCACTGGTGGGACTGGGAACGGTAGAGACATTCATTCAACAGACAGTCACGGTTATTTGCAATGTGTTCTGGACATGCCATTAGACGCTGAGAATACTGAGCAGAAATGAAAAACTCTGACTACAAGGAAATCAAACCAGCAGAGAATACAGACTTGCTGTTACTTAACTAATTAACATAACGTGGCAGGTGTGTAATGAAGTGTGGAAAAGTTAGGTGGATGCCCACAGAGAAGGTTCTCTTATCTCTAACGCACCATTTAGTACGGGGCATTTATCTTCATTTCTCATTCTTTTTTTCATTTAAGACTTTTTACCTTATCTCTTTTACTGAGTTTTTATTCTACCTCAAGTGCTTGCCATATCGCTCAACCATTTGGCACAGATGGGAATCTGTGGGAACCGTGGGAACTCGCTTCACCTGTTCCCACGCCCGTGCAGACGTACCTCAGACACGTGAGCTTCCGTTTCATGTAACAGACCTCTACCAGTAGAGCCTATGGCTCCCCAGCCTTCAAAGGCACAGTTCTAAGGTGCATTTTTCAGAGGGGTCCTAGCCGGGCTGAGCTCCATTTGTCCAGCGTAGTATGGTCACCAGCTCCACAGTGAACTCAGTGGCTTTCTGTTCTTCCCTGATTCCGCTCTGGCTTTTTGGGTTACCTTCTGCAAGCTCCTTGTACACAAGTCACTTTTTCTTAGTTTGGCAGAACATAAACTAAGATAGTTGGTACTAGAAGTGGCTCCAGAGAGCAGGCTCTGAGAATAGTACCGTGAAAGTGGTATCACTCACCCTTGGGTGGCAACAAAGACCCCTTCGCTGGTGGAAAGTGAGGCATGGGTAGCCCCGGTAGTTCTAGCATCAGAGGGGTGAGACTCACCGGTGGTGGAGTGGGACGAGATGAAACCACTGGCTAGTACGGCAGCTCCGGCACTTGGCCAAAACGTGGAACATGTAGTGGTAAGAATGGTAAAGTTGGCTGACTTTTTTTTTTTTTTTTATCTCCCTCAGAGCCCTTGAGGTAAGATCAGGTTCCGATCAGCCAGACACCAACTCCAGACACCCAGTGGAAGGCAGAAGGCTCTGTGGCAGCGTCTTCTGTAGCCAGAGGACGGACTGTGTTGACAGTCAAGCCCCAGATTTAATCATAATTGTGGCAGAGCTGCAACAGAAGCTCAGTGTACAACTTACGCAGCTTGCTTCTGCTAAAGTCAGGAGCGAGGCCCAGAATGGAGATCTTTGGGTGCAGGCATTGAGAACTTCAAACTTGCAGATTTCCTGAGATCCTCTGGGCCAGCAGAAATATCCAGCTCTCTGTTATGGACAGAGCAACTTCTCGTTGCCTGGACACTATGCAGTGACCTCACCTGAGGCAGGTGCCTTGCTAGACGCTGCTGTCCTCCTCAAGATCTGCCTCCCCTCCCATCAGATCTCAGCATTGCCTACGCAGCAAGTACGGGGGAATTAGCTTCTGTACTGGAAGAATTGTGGGGCCTGGTTCATATGGACCAGCTGGAAGTGGGGGAGCACGTGTCAGAGTGAATCTTGGTGTTGCTAGACCAAGAGTAGGTGTCCCGGGTGACTGTCAAGTTGGAATGGAAAGACCGTTGGCCTTGGGGGCATTCTCTTATGATTCGGGCTTTAATGACCCAGCAGGAATAACTGGAGCCAGTCCTGACGGCTGCTAGGCAGGCCCCCTGCAGCGTGGCCGCTACCACTTGGTTTCAGCCAGGGATGATTTTGCTTCCCCAGGGGATGTTTGACAATGTCTGGATGTATTTTTAGTTGTCACAATTAAGGGTTGCTTATTGAGCAGAAACTAGGGTGCTACTCAACTTTCTACGTTTTATAGAACAGCTCCCCACAAAAAAGAATTATTTGGCCCAAAATGTCAGTGGTGCCAAGGTTGAGAAAACCAGAGGTCTCTTGGCAGAGGATCGAGGGAAGGGTAGGAAGGAGACTGGAGGTGGAGATTTGAAGCAGATTTATTTTTCAAGGCTAGAAATGCAGTATTTACCCAAGTTCCTGGGAGGGTGCATACCCCTCACTCTGGAAATACGGCCTGGTGCGGGGCCCAGCACCTCTGAGAAGCTTGCTGCTGACTGGCTTAGGAGCGCCTAGGTCAGGATTGACTGTAAGGAGATGTGACCCCGGAACCGGTTCCCAAGTATCTATGGAGGTGATCGCATTCTGATGTAGCAAAGGCCGATTCCGGGTGGGGGTGCTAAGGTAGACACAGCACCCACAGGGGACATCAGGACCTGACCTGCAACCAGTATGTCCTGACCCACCATGATGCCGACAGAGCCCGGTGTTCCGAGGGCAGTGTGGATGGGTGGCCAGCCAGGGTGCTGCTTGACTCATGTAATGAGGGACCGGCGCCGGCAAGTAGGCTGATGTCGGCTGCCGCAGTGGAAAAACCACTGTTGATCCCCTGGTTTTCAGATGGCAGCTTTCAGACCCATATCCCCTGGATTGAGAGGGAGGCTGGAGCTCTTTGAAGAAGTACTTTGCAACATCCCTGCAAGTATAGACAAATGTCCCCCCAGTCCTTCCTTAAGGGAACCGCAGCTCTTTATCAGACTGACTGTACATCAAAGAAAGGATAATATCCAGCCCTTTGGAGGGCTGTCGACTACAGGTCCTGAGCTGATCACAGCACCAGGCAACCCTTAAGCAGCAGGCCAGGAGCTGGCAGATAAATGGTCTAGCTCGCATCCTTCCGAGGGACAAGGCTAGTCCTCATGGTACTTCAGAGGGTTCCTAGCAGCCCTCAGGACCCCCTGCCTGCAGCAGCAGGCAGCTCAGTGACACATTCCTTGTCGGCCTTCACTACTTCCCTGCCTCCCTCTTCCTGCTTCATCACTTCAGCTTTCTGAGATCACCTTCCAAGTAAGGAAACACCCCGCACTGCCATCCTTGTCTCTGGCCCTTTAATTTGGGGGGGAGAGAGGTGGGGAGGGCAAAGGACTGAAACTGTGATAGGTAGGAAGCAGAACTGGATGCTCGGGACGCTAAGATAGGGGTATCAGCCCTCTCTTCTTTCCTGCCCTCTGCTGACCACCCGGGACTCTGGAGCCAGGTCATACTCCTGCCAGGACAGTTACTGTGGCCCCAGGTTTCCTCCGACACTTGGTG